GGGCCCCGCACACACTAATATGTCCACTATCTTGTGGGATTTTTTCATGGACCTCTTCTGCTTGAATGTCTAACACTGGGGCACTCTTTTAAGCAGTCCGTGGTAAGCCTTGTAATCCTCTAGTGGTGGTGCATACTTCTCTACAGCCTCATCTGGCAATGAAGAAGATGCACCAGGATGCTGAGGCAAAGGCTGATCTACCTCTTGCAATGGAGGAGCTGCCTGAGCAACTTTCAGCTGCTCAGTACCAGTGCCTGTACTGGGTGTTGGAGAATGTTGTCTGCAGTACTGATGGTCTCTGTGCACCCTTGAGGAAGGCAACTCAGATGGGAGAGGGGTTGTCATAGCAGGGGCTAGGGTACTTCACAGGGTCCAGAACAGTGGTGGACTCCATGGTTGTACAGGCCATTACCCCTTATGATTTGGCCACTGTTGATACTGCTGTGACTTCCATGGACCCTAAGGCTCTGACAGAGGATAAGCTTCCTGTATGGTATGGGACACAAAAGACCCTTCTTCTGAATCCAACAAAGATGAGTCAGATTCCTGCTATAACAGTGGAGAAGAACCCATGTGGACAAGAGATAGGTAAGCTGAACACGGAGATGGAGGTAGTGAGGATATTAATAGTGGCTTGCCCCTGGAACATACTGGCTTTTTAGGTACCGGAAGCAACATCAGAACCGCATGTTCTTGTGGAGCTGATGCAGGAACTACAGTCACTAGTACCAGCTGAAACCCTTCCTTAAATGCTGGGGACATTGATACCAAAAGGTTAAGCAAATCTCAGCATCATTGGTACTGGAATTGGGTCTTGAGTCTGGTGTCTTTGTATAGAAATTTCGTGGGTCAGGCTTGATGGGTCTAGCATAAGTTCCAGAGTCAAAAAAAACACTCTTGTAGCAGATGAATGTTCTGTGGAATGCCATCCCACAGAGTCCTTGTCTCTAGCTGGTCTCAGTACCTAAGGTCTTGCTGAATGAATTACCGAGGCCTTGGAAGATCTGTATCTCTTCTTTAGTACTGGAGACACAGAACGTGGTGCCAAAGACATCTCAGGAGGCACCTCTGTGCTGAGGGTGCCACACTTGGAGTATATTTTGAGTCCTATGGTTCCAACAGAGGGTGAAGTGCCACCTCCATAAGGAGACACTTAGAATCATAGAATCATAGAATATCAGGGTTGGAAGGGACCCCAGAAGGTCATCTAGTCCAACCCCCTGCTCAAAGCAGGACCAATTCCCAGTTAAATCATCCCAGCCAGGGCTTTGTCAAGCCTGACCTTAAAAACCTCTAAGGAAGGAGATTCTACCACCTCCCTAGGTAACGCATTCCAGTGTTTCACCACCCTCTTAGTGAAAAAGTTTTTCCTAATATCCAATCTAAACCTCCCCCACTGCAACTTGAGACCATTACTCCTCGTTCTGTCATCTGCTACCACTGAGAACAGTCTAGAGCCATCCTCTTTGGAACCCCCTTTCAGGTAGTTGAAAGCAGCTATCAAATCCCCCCTCATTCTTCTCTTCTGCAGGCTAAACAATCCCAGCTCCCTCAGCCTCTCCTCATAACTCATGTGTTCCAGTCCCCTAATCATTTTTGTTGCCCTTCGCTGGACTCTCTCCAATTTATCCACATCCTTCTTGTAGTGTGGGGCCCAAAACTGGACACAGTACTCCAGATGAGGCCTCACCAATGTCGAATAGAGGGGAACGATCACGTCCCTCGATCTGCTCGCTATGCCCCTACTTATACATCCCAAAATGCCATTGGCCTTCTTGGCAACAAGGGCACACTGCTGACTCATATCCAGCTTCTCGTCCACTGTCACCCCTAGGTCCTTTTCCGCAGAACTGCTGCCTAGCCATTCGGTCCCTAGTCTGTAGCTGTGCATTGGGTTCTTCCGTCCTAAGTGCAGGACCCTGCACTTATCCTTATTGAACCTCATCAGATTTCTTTTGGCCCAATCCTCCAATTTGTCTAGGTCTTTCTGTATCCTATCCCTCCCCTCCAGCGTATCTACCACTCCTCCCAGTTTAGTATCATCCGCAAATTTGCTGAGAGTGCAATCCACACCATCCTCCAGATCATTTATGAAGATATTGAACAAAACCGGCCCCAGGACCGACCCTTGGCGTACTCCACTTGATACCGGCTGCCAACTAGATATGGAGCCATTGATCACTACCCGTTGAGCCCGACAATCTAGCCAGCTTTCTACCCACCTTGTAGTGCATTCATCCAGCCCATACTTCCTTAACTTGCTGACAAGAATACTGTGGGAGACCGTGTCAAAAGCTTTGCTAAAGTCAAGAAACAATACATCCACTGCTTTCCCTTCATCCACAGAACCAGTAATCTCATCATAAAAGGCGATTAGATTAGTCAGGCATGACCTTCCCTTGGTGAATCCATGCTGGCTGTTCCTGATCACTTTCCTCTCATGCAAGTGCTTCAGGATTGATTCTTTGAGGACCTGCTCCATGATTTTTCCAGGGACTGAAGTGAGGCTGACTGGCCTGTAGTTCCCAGGATCCTCCTTCTTCCCTTTTTTAAAGATTGGCACTACATTAGCCTTTTTCCAGTCATCCCGGACTTCCCCGGTTCGCCATGAGTTTTCAAAGATAATGGCCAATGGCTCTGCAATCACAGCCGCCAATTCCTTCAGCACTCTCGGATGCAACTCGTCCGGCCCCATGGACTTGTGCACGTCCAGCTTTTCTAAATAGTCCCTAACCACCTCTATCTCCACAGAGGGCTGGCCATCTCTTCCCCATTTTGTGATGCCCAGTGTAGCAGTCTGGGAGCTGACCTTGTTAGTGAAAACAGAGGCAAAAAAAGCATTGAGTACATTAGCTTTTTCCACATCCTCTGTCACTAGTTTGCCTCCCTCATTCAGTAAGGGGCCCACACATTCCTTGGCTTTCTTCTTGTTGCCAACATACCTGAAGGAACCCTTCTTGTTACTCTTGACATCTCTGGCTAGCTGCAGCTCCAGGTGCGATTTGGCCCTCCTGATAACATTCCTACATGCCCGAGCAATATTTTTATACTCTTCCCTGGTCATATGTCCAACCTTCCACTTCTTGTAAGCTTCTTTTTTATGTTTAAGATCCGCTAAGATTTCACCATTAAGCCAAGCTGGTCGCCTGCCATATTTACTATTCTTTCGACTCATCGGGATGGTTTGTCCCTGTAACCTCAACAGGGATTCCTTGAAATACAGCCAGCTCTCCTGGACTCCTTTCCCCTTCAAGTTAGTCCCCCAGGGGATCCTGGCCATCCGTTCCCTGAGGGAGTCGAAGTCTGCTTTCCTGAAGTCCAGGGTCCGTATCGTGCTGCTTACCTTTCTTCCCTGTGTCAGGATCCTGAACTCAACCAACTCATGGTCACTGCCTCCCAGATTCCCATCCACTTATGCTTCCCCCACTAATTCTACCTGGTTTGTGAGCAGCAGGTCAAGAAAAGCACCCCCCCTAGTTGGCTCCTCTAGCACTTGCGCCAGGAAATTGTCCCCTACGCTTTCCAAAAACTTCCTGGATTGTCTATGCACCGCTGTATTGCTCTCCCAGCAGATATCAGGAAAATTAAAGTCACCCATGAGAATCAGGGCATGCGATCTAGTAGCTTCCGTGAGCTGCCGGAAGAAAGCCTCATCTACCTCATCCCCCTGGTCCGGTGGTCTATAGCAGACTCCCACCACTACATCACTCTTGTTGCACACACTTCTAAACTTAATCCAGAGACACTCAGGTTTTTCTGCAGTTTCGTACCGGAGCTCTGAGCAGTCATACTGCTCCCTTACATACAGTGCTACTCCCCCACCTTTTCTGCCCTGCCTGTCCTTCCTGAACAGTTTATAACCATCCATGACAGTACTCCAGTCATGTGAGTTATCCCACCAAGTCTCTGTTATTCCGATCACGTCATAGTTCCTTGACATCACCAGGACCTCCAGTTCTCCCTGCTTGTTTCCAAGGCTTTGTGCATTTGTATATATGCACTTGAGATAACCTGTTGATCTTATGCCTTGCTGGTCCATCCTTTATAGAGTGAGGCTTAAACCCCCTACAAATGTGACACTTGTCACTTATGTAGGATTCCCCCAAACATTTTAGACAGTTTGGGTGCAGGTCACTGACCAGCATCAGTCTGGCACATGACAGGCAGGACTTAATCCCAGAGGGCAAGGCATGGCTCTGGACCTAGTCCTGAGAATCAGATTTCATCCAAAAAGGACTTAAAAACTGAAACTTATCACTAACACAATCTAAGCACTATATCTACTAACTACTAAACAACAAAGAGAGTATATGCAATGAGTGATGGAAAAACTTAGATAGCAAGACTGGAAGTGCACCAACAGCCCTCTCTGGTGGTAAGAAGGAACTGAGAGGGCTGGGGTCAACTCCATCCTCTTATACCCATGATGCACAATGGCAGAGGGTGCTCAAGCCACCCCAATGGGTATCGCTGAGAGAAAAAGTTCTCCAACAACTGTGCACAAGGCGAAGAATAACAAACATAAAGAAGTACTTCTTCACACAATGCACAGCCAACCTGTGAAACTTGTTGCCAGGGGATGTTGCGAAGGCCAAAAGTATAACTGGGCTAAAAAAAGAATTAGAGAGGTTCATGTAGGATAGGTCCATCAGTGGCTATTAACCAAGATGGTCAGGGTATCCCTAAACTTCTGACTGGCAAAAGCAGGGGCTGGATGACAGGGGATGGATTAGTTGATCATTCATGTTCCCGTTCATTCCCTAGGCTAGATGGACCATTAGTCTGACCCAGTATGGTCATTCTTATGTTTTTATGTTCTAATCCCTGCTTTGAGTGCCAAACTGAACTCAGCCTTAACTATGGAACCATGAACAATGATAAAACCAAAATGACCTCCCCACAGTATTTTCTTGAAGAGTAGTTTTGAAATTGGATAAAACACAAGAAACGTACAATGCTTCTGTAAAACCTGCATTAAACTGATGTCTTCAGTTACTAACCTCATCCATGCCACAGTCACATTCCTCCTCATCGTCTGTCACACCATTACCACACATCTGTACTCCAAATGCTTTCTTTTCTGGTATGTCAAGTAGACAAGTTTTTTCTGGTTTTCTTATCATGTCATAATAGTTTGCTCTAGAGCAGTTACTGAACTCTGTACACTGTATCCTCCTGCGTAAGGAGAAGATATCTAATACTAAAGAGCACTTTAATCTGTCAGATAGATGTATATCAAAATCCAATGGCTGGAAGTTAGACTCATAGACTTAAAGGTCAGAAAGGACCATCATGATCATCTAGTCTGACCTCTTGCACAGTGCAGGCAACAGAACTCACCCACATACTCCTGTAATAGACCCATAAACTCTGGCTGAATTACGGAAGTCCTCAAATCATGATTTAAAGACTTCAAATTAAAAAGAATCCACCATTTACACTAGTTTAAACCTGCAAGTGATGCACGCCCCATGCTGCAGAGGAAGGTTAAAAAAACCCTGGGGTTTTCTTCTTGAAGTAGAAACATGTATTACTTTGAAGCCATTCATTCAGATGGTGGTCTGATTTAAAATTAAATGGACTCCTCTAATACACAGACAAACTGACCATGCACATAAAATATAAAAAACAGACTAATCACTTTACAATAATGTTTATACTGTAGCATGAAATCAACTCTGCTCTATATTTTCAATTGAATATTCTCTGATCAGGAAATTAAAGTTGTTATTAAAATACTTTTGATTTTATAATGAATCATGTTTTAAAAATAATTCCTTACCTCATCATTGTTCCCTGCAGATTGATTCCATTGGTGCAAACTAGGTGGATAGTCCTTTCTGTATATGCAAATCAGCTTGGAGTCAACCAGTAGTAGCTGAGAATTTTCCCACTCTCAGTCACTGACTCCTCTTCTTGTTTTCTCCAAAGTTTTTCAAAGCTGTACCTTCAGTTTAAGTGAGCCAGCAAGTGAACTGTGGGGGGTTGTAGTGTTGGATTTTGTCCACAGAGAAGAATTCTCAGATGAGAAATTCTTTCTTCTGCATCCTGTTTCTACCAGGATGAGAGACAAAGCTGTGGTGAAAGGAATATCTTCCCTCTCAGCAGGGGCTAGGAGGGAGAAGAGTCAGAAAGAACCAGACATCAGAGCTTTGGAGGATTGGGAGGGATGGTCCTAGCAAAGGAGCCTATGAAGGAACACAGAATCATGGACTCGTAAGACTGGAAGGGACCTAGAGACGTCATCTAGGCCAGTCCCCTGCGCTCATGGCAGGGCTAAGTATTATCCCAACATGTTAGAAAAATGAAGGTTACTTACCAGTAACTAGAATTCTTCAAGATAGACTCTGCATATTCTGACTCAGCGGATGCTCTGACCAGTGGAACTCTAGCTAGCAATGCCCATTACAGAACTCACACAGCTCCCCTGCCCCTCCCCCTAATGAATGCAGAATGTTCCACTGCAAGGGTATACAAGGGCACAGTGCTTCTGCAGTCTCAGTTACTTCTGCTCCAGCTTAAGGTCCTTTGGTAAGTAAGGCTTCCAGGAAGTGGGGAAGAGTATACGGAGAGCATGAATATGTAGAGTCCATCTCAGAGATCTCTGGTTACAGGTAAGTAACCTTCATTTCTTCTTTGAGTATCCTCTGCATATTCCCACTCATGGAAATAACAAGCAATAACTAACCAATGATGGTGGGATATGGACTCCTAACTGAACAATGATTGCAGAATTGTTATATCAAACTTTGCATCTGATCTAGAGTCTCAGTCTAATGAGTTGTGCTTAGTGAAAGTATGGATTGAACTCCATGTTGCCGTTCTACAGATTTCCACTACAGCTGCCTTTGTCTTATAAGCTTCTTGAATACATAATGCTAAACCATCTAGAAAGCATTTGCACACTGACAGTTTTCCCCTTGTTTTCCTTCTTATAAGACATTAGCAAATTGAGTAATTGTCTAAAATGCTTAGTTTTGTCTAAACAGAAAATGAATGCCCTTCTAGCATCCAATGTAATCTAGTTTCACCCACTTGGTTGGTAAAATTAATGACTGATTAATATGAAAACCAGAAACCACCTTGGCAAGAACTTCATGTGATTATGTAATACTATTTTATCTTTATGAAAGACAGGAAAAGGAGGCTCTGCCATTAACAGTTGTAACTCACTTACATGCCTCACTGAGGTAATAGCTACTATAAACAGTCTTACTCAGTAAATGAAACATGTACAATCTTCCATACATTCAAACAGATGCTGTATTAACTGTGAAAACACTAAATTTAAAACTCAAAAAGGTTTTGAGTGGATATAGATGATTAATACCTTTTAAGAAACTCTTAACCACATAAGTAAATACCAATTTAATGACAGGTTTCAGAGTAGCAGCCGTGTTAGTCTGTATTCACAAAAAGAAAAGGAGTACTTGTAGAACCTTAGAGACTAACCAATTCATTTGAGCATAAGCTTTCGTGAGCTACAGCTCATTTCATCGGATGCATTCAGTGGAAAATACAGTGGGGAGATTTATATACATAGAGAACATGAAACAATGGGTGTGACCATACACACTGTAACGAGAGTGATCACAAGGTTAGCTATTACCAGCAGGAGAGCAGGGGCGGGGAACCTTTTGTAGTGATAATCAAGGTGGGCCATTTCCAGCAGTTGACAAGAACGTCTGAGGAACAGTGGGCGGTGGGGGTTGCGGGGGATAAACATGGGGAAATAGTTTTACCTTGTGTAATGACCCATCCACTCCCAGTCTCTATTCGAGCCTAAGTTAATTGTATCCAGTTTGCAAATTAATTCCAATTCAGCAGTCTCTCGTTGGAGTCTGTTTTTGAAGTTTTTTTGTTGAAGAATTGCAACTTTTAGGTCTCTAATTGAGTGACCAAAGAGATTGAAGTGTTCTCCGACTGGACAGATTGACAGAGCCAGAAGAGTACCCAGAAGTCACCTACTACAGGACAGGCCTAAGAAAGAAAATATGTGTGATTTGGCCTTCCTGATTTCACTCCTGCATGCCTGAGCAATATTTTTATACTCCTCCCTGGTCATTTGTCCAATCTTTCACTTCTTGTAAGCTTCTTTTCTGTGTTTAAGATCAGCAACGATTTCACTGTTAAGTCAAGCTGGTTGCCTGCCATATTTACTATTCTTTCCACACATCAGGATGGTTTGTCCCTGTAACCTCAATAAGGATTCTTTAAAATACAGCCAGCTCTCCTGGACTCCTTTCCCTCGCATGTTATTCTCCCAGGGGATCCTGCCCATCAGTTCCCTGAGCGAGTTAAAGTTTGCTTTTCTGAAGTCCAGGGTCCGTATTCTGCTGCTCTCCTTTCTTCCTTGTGTCAGGATTCTGAACTCGACCATCTCATGGTCACTGCCTCCCAGGTTCCCATCCACTTTTGCTTCCCCTACTAATTCTTCCCGGTTTGTGAGCAGCAGGTCAAGAAGAGCTCTGCCCCTACTTGGTTCCTCCAGCACTTGCACCAGGAAATTGTCCCCTACACTTTCCAAAAAGTTCCTGGATTGTCTGTGCACCACTGTATTGCTCTCCCAGCAGATATCGGGGTGACTGAAGTCTCCCATGAGAACCAGGGCCTGCGATCTAGTAACTTCCATTAGTTGCCGGAAGAAATCGTCGTCCACCTCATCCCCCTGGTCTGGCGGTCTATAGAAGACTCCCACCACGACATCACCCATGTTGCTCACACTTCTAAACTTAATCCAGAGACACTCAGTTTTTCTGAAGTTTCGTACTGGAGCTCTGAGCAGTCATACTGCTCTCTTACATACAATGCAACTCCCCCACCTTTTCTGCCCTGCCTGTCCTTCCTGAACAGTTTATATCCATCCATGACAGTACTCCAGTCATGTGAGTTATCCCACCAAGTCTCTGTTATTCCAATCACATCATAATTCCTTAACTGTGCCAGGACTTCCAGTTCTCCCTGCTTGTTTCCCAGGCTTCTTGCATTTGTGTATAGGCACTTGAGATAACTCGCTGATCGTCCCTCTTTCTCAGTATGAGGCAGGAGCCCTCCCCTCTCGCATTCTCCTGCTTGTGTTTCCTCCCGGTATCCCACGTCCCCACTTACCTCAGGGCTTTGGTCTCCTTTCCCCGGTGAACCTAGTTTAAAGCCCTCCTCACTAGGTTAGCCAACCTACTTGCGAAGATGCTCTTCCCTCTCTTCCTTAGGAGGAGCCCGTCTCTGCCTAGCACTCCTCCTTCTTGGAACACCATCCCATGGTCAAAGAATCCAAAGCCTTCTCTCTGACACCACCTGCATAGCCATTCGTTGACTTCCACGATTCAACGGTCTCTACCCAGGCCTTTTCCTTCCACGGGGAGGATGGACGAGAACACCACTTGCGCCTCTAACTCCTTTATCCTTCTTCCCAGAGCCACATAGTCTGCAGTGATCCACTCGAGGTCATTCTTGGCAGTATCATAGGTGCCCACGTGGAGAAGCAGGAAGGGGTAGTGATCCGAAGGCTTGATGAGTCTTGGCAGTCTCTCCATCACATTGTGAATCCTAGCTCCTGGAAAGCAGCAGACTTCTTGTTTTTCCCGGTCAGGGCGGCAGATAGATGACTCAGTCCCCCTGAGGAGAGAGTCCCCAACCACCACCACCCGCCTCCTTCTCTTGTATAACAAGTGCAAATACACGAAGTAATCCAGGACAAAATTGTCTGTGAAGAGATTGGGAGACCTTTCATCATGTGAGCCATAGCTGTATATAGTTGGGTGAAATTTTGGAATAGTTTAGTTCTTTCTGGTAAAGATCATTTGTGTATTCCATGAGGGGATGCAAGGTCAGGTACCTTTTACAAAACAAAAGTAAAAGAAATACTAATAAGAGAAGCACTTTTTGCGGATGATTGTGCCCTCCTAGCACACACAGAGGGAGATCTCCAGTACATCGTAGATGGCTTTGCCGAAGCATCAAAATTGTTTGGCCTCAGAATTAGCCTGGAGAAAACTGCGGTGGTGCATCAATCATCTTCACCGCTCCCTGCCATATCCCCGAGCATCTCCATGAGTGGAACCCAACTAAAGCAAGTTGACAATTTTACCTATCTCGGCAGCAACATCTCCAATGATGGATCTTCTGAAAAAGAGTTCACGGACAGGATACAGAAAGCTTCTCAGTCACTAGGAAAG